ACCGCAGCTGGACTTTGTTTGCCATTCCAGGGCCTGACGCGTCACTGGCAGCAGCAGCATGCAGCAGCAGCAGGTAGAACCGGGACGCGAAAGACCGATGACGAGCCAACAAACGCGCGCGCCTCTTCCCTGCGCACCCTTCCGGAAAATTACTTTTCTGGCAAGCGCGCGACGCCCCGGTATGTTTGGCAGCGCGACGCGCCTTCGCTCAATTCCATTCCGCGAACAGAGATAAACGGGATCGTAAGTACGCCGAACAGCGGTCACACCGACAGCGACCGCTGGCCATTGCCAAGCAGGGAACCGTTGAGCGAGAACAATGTTTCGAAGCACATGAAGCACACCTGCTTCGAACATGCTCGATGCGCGGAGACAATTCTCTCATCGTGTCTCCGGCAAACACAGTCTTCGTTTGAGCAGTTTTCCGTACATGACGCAAGAGGGGGCATTTACTGGACGCCATATTCGAGTCCACTGTTCACAGTGCACGCTCAGAACGATCTTTGATCGCGTGGAATGCACGTCGCAAAGATACCGCGGAATCTCGCCGTCATGCTCGCGCTCAAAGCAACGGACTTGGCTATGGTCCCTAAAGCGTGCATGAGCTACCGCAGTATCCGTGGTTCGAATGCCGCGTGCCGAGTTTCTGCTCGAACTCGTTGCATGCGGCATTCGAAGCACCAGTCTCGTGGTGACACGCGTTCGAATTTGTTCGCAGACTTTCTTTTGTACGTTTGTATAAGCAGTGTGACCCCCGCTTAACGGTCGCCAGAGAATATACCGTATCTAACCCTTTTCACTGGTGGCCACCGCCAGGGGTTTCTTCAGGAAGTGAAATCAGGGGAGAGGGAGGGGAGGGGGCATTGCGAATAGAGGCGTCATTGCGAATTAATGGGGTGCCTCGAAAGAAACAAGGACTCGGGGGTTCACACCCCCTAGAGGGTGTGTAGGGAAATCACTGGCGGGCATTGCCGAGTCCGTGGTTGCCGAGCGCGTGCTGACGGCGAGCTTGCACGGTTCTTCTGCAACGCGATTTCACGGACTGCCGGTATTCGCAGTCAATAAATGCCAGCTGGTTCCGAGTATCCGCGCTCTACAGCGCGCTCAAATATGGCGTCGAGTGAACACCCCCCACACGTATCTAAAGATGAAGGAACAAAATTACGAAATAAAAAGCGAAAGTGCCGTCTGTTTCGACTGCACGCCTAGTGCGCACGATGAAAATCAAGATCCGTATACACGGCAGGCACTTGAACCGAGATCGTGGCTGCTCAAAGGACACCGCCGCCCCAAGCCCGCGTCCAATGTTTACAAACACAGTGATGTGATTGGCCCAAGCCGTTTTGGAGCACCTTTTGGAGCAGCCAAAACGGTGTTTTGGAGCAGCGAAATTGGCCTTTGGAGCACCCAAAACAGTGTTTTGGAGCAGCAAAAGTGGCTTTTGGAGCAGCCAAACCAGTGTTTAGGAGCAGCAAAAGTGGCTTTTGGAGCAGATATTCTTAAAAAATAAACATATTCGTTTTAAGTGCTGCACGAACAAAGGACACTTCGCTCGCCGCAATAAACAAATTATGGTCAAGTTGGACCACCTGGGAGTCTTCAGTGGCGTACCAACTTGTTTTTAAGTGTGTGGGGGGGGGGGGGGGGGGGGGGCAAACCAGACACCCGCCCCCCCCCCCCTCCCTCCCCAGGGCCGGGGGGCAGTGCCCTTGGTATTCCTTGGACGCTGCCGGCCAGTGCCAGCGGCGGCTGTTTCGGGGGGGGGGGGGGGGGGGGGGGGGGGGCGGGGGGGGGGGGGGGAGGGGGCGACAAGCACCCCCCTTGCCCCCCTGGTTGGTACGTCCACGGAGTCTTTCAACATGTAACTGAAATGCCAATGATATGACACATTTTGCAATGGTTCTGTTAAATTATACATATATATGTACCGTTATAGATAAAAAAAGAACCAAACTACACATATTAAAATTTATTTGAAAATGACCAGCTTATTAGTAAATATCGCAGCATTAGGTTGACTACCGCCTGCCTTTGGCTAGCAATGAATTCCCACTTTCAATGCCTCCAAAGAGCCATTGAGACATCCTCAAGTGAACAGTGCTGTGGGCATTGCCGAGCAATTCCGAAAAACCGCTTGACACCGTTTTACTGGTTCCCGACGTGCCAGATTTTCGTCAAAGGTAAGCAAACGTAAAACAATGGGTTGCACGCGTCCCGGCTGGTGCTTCTGTCGTGCAGTCATGTTCGCATGCACATGAGGGCAACTTCAGCAGGCTTGCATTTGCACTTGCTTCGTCGCGCGAGCGGAGATGGCTGTTCGATCGAAACAGACACCATGCCACTCCGCTCCGTCACCAACTGGTTCCCAAAATTGTACACAAAATGTAACTGTCCAGCATACGACAAAAAACTGTCCAGTTGCACGTGCTTGCCAGGCCGGCAGGCGAGGTACAAGCTAAACACACAGAAAAAAAGAACCTGAGCGAGTCAGGTCAAAACAAGACATCGCGAGTCAGGGTCAAAAAGTACTTGGAGCGCTTTGTACAACGACTGAAGCACTGAAGCGTCAACACACGCCCGCGTCTATCGTTGAATTTTTTTTTTTCTTTAAAGGCGCGAGACGAGACACATGAACGACGAGAGCGTGAAACGAGAGGTGGCGGGAAAAACTATGCAGCCCGGATGGACGATTGATACAGGGTACTTTTTGTTGGCCGGCCGCTTGCGCTACCTCTCATTCATGCATGCTCAATTACAGTACTCAGTTTAGTTTCGGTTTTGAAAGACGATCAAAATTGGTCTTTTGGCGCAGGCTTGGCGCAGATCACCGATATTTTGGCAAAATGTAGCAGGATGTAGCAGGGTTAGCCCCTGGGCGCAGTTTGGCGCAATTGGCGCAGCAATCACATCACTGCAAACATGGCGATGCATGCACGCCGCGCGTTTCGTCACCGCTTCGGCGAAGAGTGAGCGGACACGGTCGCCCACTCGGCTACACACACAGACGCGCTCACTGCGTTGTCGAAGCGCCTCGTCGCCGCAGCGCCCGGTTCCCGTTCGCAGAAGGTCGCCAGCACGAGCAACCTAATACCAGACGCCCTCGCGCCTTTGGCGTACTCTTCCCGACTTTCTCGCGCCTCTTGGCACCACGACGCTACGACCGATCGAATGACCGCCACCACTACGACTCGACAACCCCACGCGGAAAGCGCACCCGTCTCTCGCAACTCGAGCTGTCCGAAACGCCACGTAACAACAGCGTTGTGCCCGTTACCGAAAATATGTAACGAAAAAGCGTGACTCGTTATTTCGTCAAACAAATTAACCTGTTACCGAGACTCCTCATCGTCCTCCAAAGTAACGAACATCGTTACCGTTACTTGCAAAATCTAACGAACGTTACTTTATTATTCGGTATTATTTTTCAGCGATAAGCCGCCAGATACTAACTTCCACAACAAGTGAACTTTTCCAGAGTGATCTCAGTGTTTATAATAATTTATAAAACAAATTCAAAAGAAACAAAACTTACTACTCGTTTCTCATTTAGATATCTAATGCGTTACCGAAAACAATTTACCACGTTACCAGTCGCCTCGTTACATACACGTAACGCGTTACAGCTACTGCCTCGGGGCCACGAGAGAAGCGAGAGCGCCGAGGCAAGGTCGTCACTCCTGTTGATAGGCACGTCGATTCCCATCTCGGACGCCGTGCCAGCCGGTGCACGGACTGCGAACATGCAAATGCGGCGCACGCCCTCGCCCGGCCGCGATCATGCGGAGCGCCCACGGATGAAGCCGAACGCCACGTGCGCGAACACCGCCGTGTGCACCTGCGGTTCGGTCACGGAACGAGCACACTCGCATATTGCTGCGTCAGAGCGAACGCGCTGCAAGTCCGACACGAAGCGTCTTTATTAGGACTGCCAGTCTGTCTTATCCAATCTGCGCCGATAGACTCCAAGGCCGAATAAAAATGGGAACGAAAGAGGGGGAGAGAGAAAGGTGTACCTAAACGACTTGACAGCTTCCGACTCATTTAGTTATGCGCGGAACATAGTTTTTCGTTCCAATCGTATAGCGCTGCGTCGTTCCTAACCTTCACAGCGCGAAGGAACACCAAGATCCACCTGGTCTTTGGGCAGCGTTGAAGCTAGAGATTCGAAGCAGTACTCGCACAACCTCTTTATTAACTGCAAAACGAAAACAGTTTCATCGCGCACACAGGAGCGCGCGCGGGTGGCGTTTTCAGCGATCGGTTGCATACCGCAAACACCTTTCTCCGGGGCAGCGGACGCGCTTTCCTACCCACAGCCGCCAGGAAAACACACTCTCGCATCGTACAAAGAACGCTCCGCGCACAAAAGGGTCAGCCCGTCTGACTGCACTACGCCGAACGGTTACAGAAGAGAAAGTTTGGAGCGACTGCCGATCGCAGTTATTCCGTTACGGATCAATCCACGCCAAACGCGGAAATGCGCTACTGCAAGGGGAGAAAGCAGGCAGGCGAGCTGGTTCGGAAACAGCTTCGTTCGAACCCACACCACCTCGAGTAATCGAAGCCCGTGCACTAGAATGTCGATGTCACCACAGTGTGCTGTGTCATCGTACGGCTGGACATCGTGTCCAGTCCAATTAGATCCGAAGACGTCGCGTGAGGAGGTTGTTGACAGGCTTTGATTATTCTGTGCTCCGTTTCGTGCGTAAACGTTGCCAAAGCTTCTGCTGGCGCCAGCGTGAGGGCTGGTGGTACAGTTGCACGTTCTGTCGCGCCAATGAAACAATGGCTTAATTCCACGCGCTGGCGCCAGCAGCTGACTGCGTACTACACAGTATGAGACGGAGCGTGTGCGTTATTTTAACTCGAACATTTCAGTAATGAAACACCGACAACACGAGACACTAACTCCGTGTTGCGATGCCTCGCGGCTTACATCGAAACCAGCTACACCGCGCGCAGCAGGAAACTCGCCCTTTCAGCCACCGAAGAACACTCACCGGGTTCCAGGTGAAAAAGCGTCCGCAGGCCGACGCCGCCAGCACGCCTCGCAGCACGAGCGAAGAAGTAGCTGCGGCGGTGGTCGTGTCGTCGCCTACCAGGCCCCCGAGCGGTGGCATCGGGGCCATGGGCCAAGCCGGGCCGCGACACTCGGCCGACACACCGGGGCTAGCACGGCACACCTCCTGCGCCCATCGGACGCGACGGCGCTCGCGCGATCCCGGCCGATCCTCGTGCAATCCGAACGGGCACGAAGCCGCCGCAGCCAGCAACACACCGGCCGCCGAGACGCTGCGACGCCGGTAGCGACGCTGGCTGGCCACCACACCGCGGCTGCCGGTCAACGCCGTCGCGACGCACCAAACACCAGGCAACGGTGTCGACGATTCGGCCCAACTTTTTGTTGTTTGGTAGCACCGGCGTCTACCTGGCCACGGAAATCACCGATCGCACGAGCAGGGAGGAAGGGGGCCGCTCTCGACGAGGGCAATCCAAACGACGGTCCACTTCATCCGTCGAGGAGTTTTGCCTTGTCGCGTGGTCACCGCCGCGCTCCGTGTTTACATCGCCGGGAGACGGGGGCGAAGCTGGCGCCAGGTGCAGCGGGTAGGGAACCGAGCGGTTCAACGCACGGAAGCGAACTGGCCCGACCGCCCGACTGGGACGGAGGGAGGGCATCCGCCAACGGGACATTTCGCTCGCGCTCGCCCGCCAGAGCGAGCGACGTCGTCAGCGCCGAAGGCGGCGGGGAGGGGAAGGAGACGGACGAGCGCTTCGCGAGGCGGCTCGCAGACGGCGCCACTGGATAGCGGGACCAGAGAAACCAAAACAGTACCTGGCAGATGAAACACTCAAGTTGCGAGTAGGAAAGACTTCGCGGTGACGTCACAAAACGAAGGCTGACTCTCTATTCTTTGCAGACTACTACTCCTCCTTACCCCCCCCCCCCCCCCCCGCCCCCTAAACTCAGTTGCAATAAACTAGCCAGCAGTCACTTCACAAGGTGGCCATTCTAGGGAATCATTAATGCTATTCTACCAGCAACCCCCCGACCAAATTGCAATTTTCAAGAAACTTGCTACCTTGTCTGATAACTTCTCCACGACTCTAAAATATGTTCTTCGGGTACCTACGAACTGTGTCCTACCACTGATGGAGCGAGAGATCGACAATTAGCATAATCCGCGTTTAGTATTCAAATAAATTGCACTGACAAAATAAATTAACCTAATCCGTGACAAAAAAAAAATGCGGCGAAACTATATTTAATTTTAAAATACAGAGTCCAACGGAAAGCCACAAGTCAGAGCCGACCGAATTCAACGAGCGAAACCACGCAGGCTACGTTAGGAACGTGGAATTGCAAGAAGAAAGTATGCCCGCGATTTGGTTAGATTATTGTACTTCTCCGTGCTTCAGGGTTCAGATTACGACGCTATCAACGCCGCTTTTACGCCTATCGGGGACCTCTTGCCCACCCGAAATTCGTACGAAAGGCTCCCTTTCGCCCCTCTTATCCATCGCTTCCATGACTCTCACCATTCAGCCGGAGATAAGACCAACCCCAACACGGTCAAGCGCACCACAAACCGATAAGAAGGGTAAACATCGACGAACATTGCTCCGTACAATAGGGTATCAGAATCTTGTAATAGTGTGATTTGTCGCGGTTTAATGACGAGATTATCGGGAGCTCGAAGACAAAAGAAACCACACACGCTATAAATCTAGTCAAACAACGAGATAAGCGTTAGCTGGGAGGGCGGGTGCTTTCGAGTGGACTCCATGCCCAAGTTCGGAGTCCACTATGGATTGGATTGCCGATGACGTTTCATGTGAATGTGGGATCGAGCGCGTCAGCCACGTCAAGAACAGTTAATTGGCAAACTTTGACCGGAATAATGCGCTCGAGGTTACAACTAATAAATCAAATTTAATCGTAACATTCATTAAAAGGATATCACAGCTCCCCAAGCCCTACGCAACCTCTATGGTAACTTTTTTTTTTCTTTTTTTTTTTTACTTATTTGTCAGAAACTACCTGACGAATTGACCTGGGAACGGTTTTATCCGAAAGACAATAAAAAACCTATGTTGCCGTACACTAAAATATACATCACGCGTAATTTCTTTCTTAATAAATGCACAGAATTTCTGTTTTAGTACTTCGCTTTTCTCCAAGGCTCTATACGGTAAAATACAAAACGAAGAAAACAAAAACATGGCTCAGTACAACAATAACCTTGTTGCAAATGACGAGTTAAACAGCATCGAAGCATTTTTCCTGGCCGATTACAAAAGACTCTCACGAGATTTAGAACGGGGTTAATAAATCACGATGTATCGTCACGAGGCCTTCTAAAGCTTGCTGTATTCTTACAGCGGTGGAATTGACAATTGGTGATTTGGAGCAGCTGTTATAGCAGCGGGAAAAACGTGTTTTGAAGCTGAGATTTCCACTTTCGGAGCAAACAATTTTGAGCTTTCGTGTCAAAATCTTTATACGATCTCTGAAAGTTAGCCTGTGGAAAAAAAAAAAAAACTGAAGTTGTTCGAGTGTTGGGAAACGATTTAAAGTTCCATTCCTACAGGAGACCTAGACGCTACAGATATTTATTTTTTAACTGAACAATCATACGCCGGTAATGTTGCAATGTCTCAATCTTTTAGGAGCACCGATGGCATCTTCGGTGTGTGTTTCACGCAAAAAGATGTTTTTGGCTACTTTGTAGGATTTGTATCACGATGACGTAACTGTCGCGATTTCGACATCAAACAGACACTTTTGTGTTGAATGTGGCTCATCATTCGTATCCAGCCTGCTACTACTCATAGAGCAGCTAAGCGGAGCACTGGCTACTGCAATCGATCACAACGAGTAGCACTAGCTATTTATTGCGATCCATGTGAGCACCGTTAGCACAAAATCCGTTAACTCTTCGTTAGTCATGTGAAAATAATGGATTTTGGGTTCGAAGCAAATTCCAGTGAATAGTTGTTTTGGCCGAATATATTTTAATGAAGTATTGAATAGTTTCTGCACTTTTCTTCGCGTCTTTCACTAATACACTATTACACGATACTTAAACAAAAATTCAGCCGAATTTGCGAAGGCTGTTCCCAAGCTTCTAATTGCCCACTTTTTAGCTCTGTTAAATTCAACCTAGCTAGATTTATAGGCTGTGACCTCAGAGAGTTCAATACCTACATTGGGATGCCAAGTAAACGACAGATTTTACATAAAATTAAACCTATAAAGGAGCCCAGCCATACCTAAGTGAGGGGATTTATAAATCTTCTTGGTACATGAAAATATTTTCTTCAATTATAAATTTAAAAAAAAAACTCAAATAATGAACACAAGTTGTTAGAACGTCGCTGCCTAACATGTACCCTTGCATAATAGCACCAGTTAAATTTAGAAGATCTTCCTCAAATATCAACAATCAAAAATGCATATTTTTATGCATTAGGTTTGTTTGTGCGCTATACCACTTTAAAGGTGCGTTTATCGTCTAAGTGTGCTGCGGCGAGGAGAGCCGCGAGATCGCGGTGTCAGCTCCGCGGGTACTGCTTCTCCGCCGTTCACCCGTGCGTGAGGAGAAGCGCACTCAAGGGGGCTAACCCGCCGCGATGAACAACTCGAAAAGTACGAATATCGCAGTTTATTTTGAACCGAATATAGGGAGGAAGTGGCCGAGTGGGCTAACGCGTCTCAGCTCGGAGCGTGGAGCGAAAGCTTGCGCTGGGAACCTCCTGGGTTCGATCCCCGCCGCCCCCGCCCGTTTCGATCTGGATGAGTTTCGTACCGGCACGCGTTCGTGTGATCACTACTGCGTGATGCACGATAAAAATCCCAGGTTAGCGGGTGTACCGCACTGGCTAAATTTCTCATCTACAGCTAAGAGACCCATTACCCGTTGAGGCCCATCTCCATCAAGGCTGTATAAACATAAAGAGCAAGCCAATTTTTTTTTGAAGCGAATATCAAATAGCGTATTATTTGAAACTATTATTCGAAAATTAAATATTCGCGCATCCCTACTCTTCGAACATAATACTTAAACATAAAAAAAACTACTTTTCTAATTTTCAGTGGCACCACCAACAATGCCACCTGCTTTCAGTTCCCTTCTCGAGAACAGGTCCATTTTGGCGCTGACATGGCGCAAATTGTGCACAAATACAGCCTTTCCAGCAGCGTGTAGCAGATTTTTCGTTCCGGCGCAGTTTGGCGCAAATGGCGCAGCAGTTCCACCACTGTTTTAGAGAAAAGAGCGCTCGAACGCAAACCCACGGCAAATAAGCGAAGCGGACAAAGGCCCCCACATTTAAACCAATGGTCCCTCGTATATCATACTCCGTATATCCGACGGGAATGCGTCAACTATACGCAAGAGGACTTACAGGCAGTTGTAGTTCATTTTTAGATTGCGCGCTTTTAAACTTTACAGCAATTTGTTTTATATAAGCTCTATTTTTTTTTATTATTATCTTATATTTCCGACTGTAATATATCCACATTTCGAGTGAAAAAAAAAAGTATAAAGTCCCGAAGTTTTATTTTTATTGTCAGCACGATAAATATACTTCACAACCCGGCAAAGAGATACATCCCAGGAAAGCCCTGCGCATGCGTAGTAGTAGCTTTCCTCCGCAATTTCGTAATTGCAAAGTTAAGCACTGCCATTTTTTTTTTCATTTTTTTTGTTACAGGGGTAACGTTGCAACTGCGAAGTTGCAAGTAAAACCCGCACCAGGTGAATCAGGCATTATACATAGTTTCGAAGATGGGTGACTGTACACTTATGCTTCTATAAGCGAGCATCTCTTTCAGAACACCCGATTTCCTACCTCCGTGCCTCCATATGGCAAGCCCGCAGGAACTTCGCGTTCGTCCAAAAACCACGGCGCTGCGCTCCCCGATCAACAATAGCCTGCCGGACTGAGGCCCGGGTCAGCGCGGGCGGGCTATTTTCAACGCATTCCGAGGCGCAGACTTAACACAGCGAGCCCATCTGGCTGACGCCTCCTACCTCTACCACGGACCGCTAAACTCTATTACTATATGTGGAAAGATAGTCTTCTATTTTTTTTTTTGTCACTTTACGCAAGTTAGGGGCATGGCAGCGTATATGTGCAGCTTTTTGTCAAGCCAAGTGCATTAGCACAAAGAAAGACGGCACGAATGCCCGTACGCTGAAGGCAACATAGAAAGCGAAAAACACCAATTATAGTGAAAACATAGGGTCTGCCTTCAGCTTCCCTCCTGAAAAAAAAAAAAAAAAAGAAGTGTACAAATTACCCCCCCCCCCCCCCCCCCGCCCCCTTATCCATTCCCAGGCGTAATGCAATGACGAAATGTCGACCAAAGGAACCAAGTTGCGAATAATATCAACGATGTATATGACACCGCGCCTCGTCTATCCTTTTTTTTTTTTTCGTCGTTTTTTTTTTTTTTTTTTTCTTCCGAATTTACGGCAACGTACATAAATTCTAAAACAATTTTCTTCTGACGCACTGCTAGTTTTTAACATCGCTGAAAAGGCGTGAAACAAGACTTCAACGAAAACCTGTCGACATTTGCCACTCGGGAAATAAAGTATAGCGAAAGTATTACTCTGCCCGTTTCAATCTTGGTGAGCACCGTACCGCCGGCGTGCGGTCGTGTACCCCCACTGCGTCATGCACGTTGTAAAGACTC